GACTACGACTACCACTACGACGACGACGACGACGACTACTACTACTACTACTACTACTCCTACTACTACTACTACTACTACTGCTACTACTGCTACTATTTCTGCTACTACCACTACCACCACTACCAGCACCGCTGCTAACTATTGTTTCCCCTGCTATTCGGACTATGGCAGCAGTGACAGGTGGTGTAACCACTAGTTAGAGCTACTCAGTAACTACTCAGTGCTCTACTAAACTGTTCCAACTTCTGCTCGTTCCGAGGTTCGTCGCGAGCCAGGGGCGAGGCGTTTCTGCTCCGAGGTCAGTGGCGCGGACGAGAGCGTGGGATTCCACCCAAGCTGCCTTCCGGATTTGGTAGAACTATAGGCAAAACAAACCGAAGAGGACATTTAGTAGAACTATAGGCAAAATAAACCGAAGAGGACAGGGCTGGGAAGTTGATCGTGCTAGGGATACTCGTGTGAAAGTGTTCTTCGCCATCGTGAGAGGATGCTGGGAGGGTAATTAATAGGGCTGGTTGTGCGTCTATGGAGTTGTACATTGATGGAGTTGTGCAGCGAAACAGATGGTGAAATCTGCATTGGGGATAGATTTTGCGATGAGGTGACAGACGTAATGAAAAGAACGGTTCGGAGGGTCAAGGGGGCTTGGGAGACAACATAATGATTCAGCAAAGATGGCGTAGGGACGTCTTGCGTTCTAGAGCTGGAATTGGTGTAGCAGTGCCAAAGAAACTCTTGACCCCAAGTTGGTTGGAAGCCTGGACTGTCAGACGAAGAATGTTGCAGCAAAGACTGCGACATTCCCTTCAGGTATGGCGAACAATTCGTCTCAAAGACGTAGATAAGTTCATGAAGAACCATTTGGGTAGTTGTCAAAATTAGGGTCCCTTTTGGGGTACCCTAAATAATAGGTGCCGTATTATAATAAGGACCCAAAAAGGGACCATAATTTTGACAACCACCCATTTGACAAGAGTAGTCTGCAGCAACCGAAGCCGGCCGTCGGCCGTGCATAAACCCAACGGTCTGCCGACTTGGGTTGCCGTTGCAGTTGATATTGCTAGCAATATACCCTTAGGGTTTAGGGTTTAGGGTTTAGGGAGGGCCTAGACGGCAGTCGAGTAAGGATGTAACAAAGCAAATTCTGTTTTGAGCCTGAAGGGAAAGGCTCATGTGGCGGATGTTTGCTTCTGCTGGTGGGCGTTGAGCAGGCCCTTTCTCCAGTGCCCCCACTCCCACGCTTAGCTTTGCTACATGGTGCCACGTCACTCCCCACCCAGGGGTCCATATCCACCAATTGTTCTATCTTTGCAGATACTATGTCACTATGTTCTGGTACACTTTCTGCCTGCTTCGCGGCTCCTGTGATTGTTCACTCTGAGCCCTATGCTGGAAACCAAGTTGGCTCAGGGTGGGTCGAGGCCTGGAGCTGTGATGATTTTGTTGTCTTGTCGAGCAAAACATCACGTCATAATGATACCGGCGTTAATGACATATAGTAATGATACCAACAATGGTAAAATTAGTGATATTTAGTGATAGCAATGGCAATAGCGATGGCAATTGTAATCGTACTCGGAATAGTAACAGCAAGAGTAATAGTACTTACAGGTTGTAGTCACCAGCTAGTCATCATGCAGATAACAACACGTCAGAACAATTCCATCCTAAGCCCTTAACACCACAGTGGTTGCTCCACCATCGTGAATATCAACATTGGCCGCCGTGCAAACGTTCAGCTACATGCCTAAAGGCATACTAATCGCATTGGTCGGAATCATAAAATAATCAGGATGCAACCTCAATGCTCAAGCAAACACATGCTAACACCAAAAATGACATGTGATCTTAGACGCTAAAGCCTATGGCCGAGCCCCTACACCCAAACCTTCGAAATAGCCCTAGACTAGACCTGCTCACATCCACCCTAAGCAAAACGAAGCCTGCACCCCAGACATCTTCAGCACGGCTAGGCCCATCAGCTCGACTATAAAGCCACGGAACTGTCCGACCTGGGTTGTTTTTGTTGCTCAGGCTCGGCCCCACAACCCCAAACCTTAAAACCTAAAACTTTAAAGCCCAAAGCCTATGTAAACTGCATAGACCCTATTTCTATACCCTCACCTCCAAAGCTTAAACTTACCTAGACCCTAAACTCCACCGACAATTCCACACAGAACCCAAACCCTCAACAGAGCTTGCGGACCTTGAAAACATCTAGCTCACAAATCTAGTCTGTCTTCTACGCCAGGGACGAGAAACTACACTCCATGTGACATTCTAGAAGCTTCGAGCTCTCTCGAGTTCGAGGGTTCAGAATGCCGAATGCGAGTTCAGTTTCGGGTTCGGGCGGCGGTTCCGAACATGGGGTCTGAAATAAGGTTTGGAGACCTGGGGTTGGGTGAAGTAAGCCTCTGCATAAACGGGTTGATGTAGAGGGATCGTGGCTGTAGTTTTGCTTGGGTCTTGCAGCGCCGTTTGTCGGTTTGGGGGGTTTGAGGACGATTCGGGATGTCAGGAATTGCAGTAGAGATCTGGGGTACGTGTAGGCCGGCTACGCCACACACACTAAGGGTAGGTTTCTAGAAAAGGGACATTTCTGGTTTCTAGAAGAGAGACATGTCCCGATGGCATGGATACTTTGCTCAATTTAAGCGGTTGATGTTCAGGATCCGTCGATCGGGAAGTCTAGAGCCCCTCGTGTCAACTGTCAAGTCGGCTGTTGGGCCAAGTCGCATTGCTTGTGCCATACTTTCGAAAGGCCTTTCTCGCAAGTTGCAAAGCATTCTCCGCAGTAGCATACTTCAACGTGAACTCCGTTTCGGCGTCTATCGTCTTGCAGGGTGTGACGGCAGCGTATCGATCATACCTGGCGGGAGTTGCAAACGCTCAGCCAGTGATCATACCGAAGACGTTGACCATTTTAAGTCCCTAGGAAACGAATGTACACTGGACGTCTCTGGGCCCTAGGCTCAACCTTCAACTCAACCCTAACACCCCCACCTCTTCTTGTTCTTCGAGTCCGCTCCCGTCTTGTCCAAGAGCTTCTGAAAGGAAATGCTGTGGACCAACTCCGCAGCTTCTTGGGAAGCGAAGGCTCGCTTCCGCAACTTGTCATAGCGATTGGAGGCTTTGCCAAACCACTCGTTCCTCAAGCAATCCCGATTTCGCCGCGATAACTAATCAATGTAATGTAATGTAATCGAATATCATTATATGTAATAGTCATGCAATAGTAATTAATAAGTAATGCAATAGTCTAGTAATGTAACATAACGTAATCGAATATCAGTATACAATCATACACACTCGATCAGCAAGTCACCAATGACTCCGAGGCTCGAGGTCTGCTTCGCCCAAGCCTGTACGCCCTTCCCCTGGTGGTAGATCCACTCAGACAGGCGATGCCCGACCGCATGGTTCACCACTGGCGCTTCCTCCAGGGTCTAGGCTTTTGCTCTTGTTCTTGGCTCCTTTGGGGTTTTTCGATTCAAGCTTTGGGGCTTCGGGTTTTGCAGGAGTCTAGGGTTTCGGATGTGGGGTGCAAGCCTGCGGCTGTGGATTCAGAGCTTGGGTGGCCAAAAGTAGTCTTTCAAACAATTCATTGCCGGACGTTTCAAGGCCCTGACGGCTTTGCCCAACTTTTCCCGTCAGACGCCCTCAGCAAAGAACAATGTAGAAGGCCCTTGAACTCGAATTCATGGGCCAGATATGGCATGGGCCCTAGACTGTCCAAGTCCCTGGTTCGAAACAAACACAGCTTCTTCACGAAACTCGGAGCAGGAACTAGAACACCAGTCGTTCCTCCCAGCTCACCAACAGTAAAAACTCCCAATTGTCCTCACATCTCCGTCCTAGCCTGCAAGGTGAATGTGCCCCAGCAAGCCAGGGGGGGGGCGCGAGACAGAGCACGTTTTGAAGAGAAATACATGGACATCAGAAGGGACACAGCACGGGCAGTTTCACTGAGAGGCATATCACGACATCAATGTCGTGGCATGCATTGGCAAGCCCACTATTGGGGAACGTAGGCTTCTTCTCCGCCAGCGGAACAGTAGGTTGAAAGAGCTCAGGAACCCAACAATGACAAAAACGGAATCCGACATCCCCCAATAGAAACTTGCAGCGTGGATTCTCATGTGCACAATCGTGATACTAGTCTGCTACCGGCAATGGTACAGTATTGGTACTTTCGTGTAGAGGTCTTAAAGAACTGCTACTTGACGAGTACAAAAAGAACAGTCCCACTGCTCAATCATCATCCCTCGATCCTCGGTCACGCCGGCGGCGTGCAAGGCCTGGGCTGTCATCTGCACCGTTCCACGGCCCATCCGTCCCACGGCATCCACAATGCCGTTCCTGGTTGGAAGCGCTGGATGACAAGGAGAACTGTATCAATACGAACCAGTGTCTGACACGAAGCATACCAGGGCCGACAAATTAGGAATTGTGTGTGTTCGACGATGCGTTTTCAACAGTACTATGGGGAGTTTCCTCTGGCTTTAGAGTAGAGGGATACCTTACCAACGTGTCTCAACGCAACTCCCAGCCCGACAAATCGTGATAACCCTATAGACCCCAAAGGCCCCAAACCTTAAAAGCACGAATTAAACAGCCAAAATCGTTTGATCACAGGAGCATGGAGGTCTGGGCATAGTGCACCTCAGGATCCCTGCACCAGCGTGGCGTTGCGGTGGCCTCCTCCTGTCAGGGCTTCTCAGGGCTTGAAATAGGCATCGGAACGCGTAATGTAGGGGCCTTAATGATTCGGAAAGGGTTTGGGGGCCATTATACTATAGTTACAATGAGGAACCCTCAAAACAGTATAAGTAATAATTTAGGCCCCTGTAGTAAACCCCGAACCCCAGAACCGTTGAACCCTAAAGAAGCGAGGGACCTGATGATGAGGCTCTCGCTGACTTCGTGGTACCAGGCTGACGACCCCAGAATTGCTCACCCGACTCTGAGCTTCTCTTGGAGGCCCTTCAGAAAGACGAGTCGATTACTACTCTGCAGACTGAGCCAGGCCCTAAACCCTGAACAAACGGCACGTTTGCTCCGTCTTTAAGAGCATATTGAAGCCCTAGAGCAGTAAGTTTAGGGCCAGCTTCGGGTTTTGAGCTTCTGCTTAGGCTATTGAAGCATTGATGGATCCACGACTCCCGATCTGCGGCGAGTCCCCACGTCTTTGGCGCCGCGCGAACGGGGGCTTAGGATCGAAAGAGAAGCCCCTAACACGAAGCCATAAGGGTAGTTGTCAAAATTATGGTCCCTTTTGGGTGCCGTATTATAATACGGACCCAAAAAGGGACCATAATTTTGACAACCACCCATAAGCTGGGGAAGACCTCCGTCTGCATCTTGGGGTCAAGGCTTTAAGCTTCCCAATATCTAAGCTTCTCAGGTCTAAATGATTGGTTTAGGGTTTAGGGTTTAGGGAGGCTTGCGACAGTACCTGAGTGATCGAACAACATCAAGAAGAACTGCAGTTGTCATGCTCGTGTTCCACCCAAAAAATCCTGGGTCTCGAAGACGAGAGACACATAGCCGTGGCAATACACAGCAATGATTACCCCTGAGACGAGAATCCCAAGCGACGATAGACAAGCAGGAACACTCCTAGAAATCAGATTGTCCATGGAAGGGTTACTTAATGAGATGTCAACTCCCATAAACCCTCAACCCCCCCCCCCCCCCCCCGAAAAAAAGAAACGGCCATACTCGCAACAGGTCCTCGGTGCAGCCGAGACCAACGGTCACGAAGGTCCGCCAAGTGTGGAAGGTCGTGTCCTGCTGAAGAGGGCCCTATCACTTAGGTTTTTTTTTTTTTGGAGGCGGGGGGG